CAATGTTTGTAAACAATACTACAATGGGTGTAAAATTACTACAATGTTTGTAAACAATACTACAATGGGTGTAAAATTACTACAATGTTTGTAAACAATACTACAATGGGTGTAAAATTACTACAATGTTTGTAAACAAACTACAATGGGTGTAAAATTACTACAATGTTTGTAAAAATACTACAATGAGTGTAAAATTACTACAATGTTTGTAAAAATACTACAATGGGTGTAAAAGTAAACAATATCAATTTTTTTATGTTTTCCTCTTGTGCTGTCTATAGATACTGCTATTTTGATATAGAAATATTCCACTTTTCAAACTAATGGCATCATTCTAAAATTGTAGATGAAACATGCGGCATATTTTGTAAGTTAATTATGTTAATTGATCAAAGTTGATCAATTTTGAACATGTTATAATTACATAGGTCAACAAAAAGTTTTAATTTCTGAAAATTGTGTCATTGGGCAATTTTGCAGCTGGGCAAATGGACAATTGTCATTATTTTAACGTAGTACTACTTAATTATATTCACTTGATTTCATTTTTGCGCATTAATTTATGCTCGACAGTACATCTTTGTAGTTTGCACTAAGTTCTGCAATCGATATTTTGATTTCGAAAAGTAGATGCCACATTTGTGTATAATACGAAAAACATGAAGATAAAAATGAAGCAACAATGCAGTTCTGTCGACTCTTTTAAAATAGGCTAATGGCTTTTTTTTATTCCATTGCCATATTAAAGGCTTCGACAATAAATACGTACCCATAGTAAGACAAGTTAACTAAAAATAATTTTGAATTATTTTGAATGAATTCAAATCATTAACATAAGTCTGAAAGGGTTTGAGTAAAACGTAATGCATCGAATATGTCTGCGATCATATGACGTCCGTGGATTGCCTCAACAATTTACTTGGTGTAGAAAGTTGTATTACTACATAATCGTCGATCAATTGATCAATTGATTACCATTGCCTTTATAATTTGAAACATATACGAAAACTCGACATGTTTTAGAAAACTCTGTACCAGGACCATAGACCATAAAATTTTTATAAAAAATTAAGACAATACTATAATTGATTTTTTTTTCAAATTCTCATTTTATCAACTCATTTTTTAAATGTATAATTAATTTTAAAAAAATTGCATTTTGCATTCAATTTTTTGCATGAAAAATCAAATAAATAAATTTAGGTATTTCTTTTTATGATGTCTTTATTTCCTTTTTTATGATGTCTTTATTTCCTTTTATGATGTCCAGCAAAATTAGTCTTTGTAACATAAGTTGCCTTCCTTGTAATTTTTAAATTTGCATCTAATATAAATGATTTATTTGAAATATGCTCTAAATATATAATTATAATTTCAATTTAAATGTATTGTAATTTAAACAAAACATATGAATTTGGGCCGGCTGAATACGTTCTTAAGGGGGTCTTTTTATGTGACGGCCTGTTTTTTAGGGATATTTTAGATTTTTTTTCTACGACCAGTAAATATTTAGAGCTTCAAGTTTTTTATCATTTATTAACACATATTTGGACAGTATAAATATAAAATTTCAGCTAAAATATTCAGTCAAACTAGAGTTACTGCGCTTTGAACACCCCCGACTCGAAAAAAAGAGCTCCCACTTTCTCCACGATTCCGGCTGATCGGCTTATCTTAAAAAAAAAAATAAACTGCGTTTTAATTTGTAGGCTTAAAAGCACGGAATGACCTATAATCAAATGAATATAAAAAAAAATGGATTTTTGATAGACATTTGAAATAAAGTTGCAAATTAGGCGTTTTTTTGTTTGTTTTTTTGCTATAAAAATCGAAGTTTTGAAGATTTTCGATTGATAATAGTTTATTCCATGCGTTTAAATATATTGAGTGTGCCCTGTAAATTTCAAGTAATTCGGTCCAGCCGTTTCTGAGATACAATGGAGGAAAGTTTTAAAACACAGTTCTGAGAAAAACACGTTTAAAGATAAAATGATCTTTGTACTATATACTATATGTATACTTTTTAAATGGCTGTAACTCAAAAACTATTTGAGATATCGATTTGAAATTTTAATATGTTATTTTTAAAGGTGTAATCTACCGAAATATGGAAAAAACAAATTCGATTTTTTCAACTGATCACATAGGAAGACCCCCTTAATTGTGAGAGCTTGCAGATCTTGGTTCAACTGCCATTTGGGGGTGTTTGCAGTTTGTTTTAAAATATAATTTTTTGCCTCATCTCAGAATTTAATACCGTACGTTTAGATAGTCTCGATAATAGTCTCATAAATTACAAGTTTATTAGCTCTAGAAACTTGTGAGTTCCAGCCATAAGGCATTTAGTTACATTAGGTGCATGAACCAGCTCTCCATTTAATTTGGGTATGAACCTTGGCGGTACTGATATAAGCAAAAATTCAAAGACTTGAAATTTTGACAGAGAACCAGGAAATTTTAGCTCAACATGATGATTAAACACGCGTCTCCGAAAACTTACAAAAAACACGTGATTCAAATAGAAAAATGGTTAAATCTGTGGAAAATAGAAGTAAACACTAATAAAAGAAAAGTTGACATATTGATTTTACTGGTCGAGTAGTCTTTAGATTCTGACGACATTTAATAGGCCTATTTTTTGCTAAAATGTTGTGAATTATAATAGGCCTAAAATAATCGAATGCTGCCATAGAAGAATTTGGGCTTTTTTTCTATAATTACAATACGGCCACAATGCAGTTGAAAAATAAATTTGAATATTGGTCCACAAGTAGATGAACTATTCAATTCCATCAGGAAAGCGATATTAATTATGCAACTTCTCTAGCTTTGAAAAAGAATCACTTAATTTCTTAGAAATCCGTCGACCTAACTGGGCACAGTTTTACTGGGTTACTGAGAAACATCAGTGTTATTTTTGTGTTTGTTGGTAAATTATGATTCTGCTGTTCGTTTGTGTGTTTGTACATTTGTTAATAAAGATTTCATTGAGAATTGCTTCCAAAGGCATAGCTTTTTGACAATATCAAAAGAACAGCTTCAAACTCAGATACAGGACATAATTACTAAATAGTGCATTGACAAATTAGTCTAATCATATTACACTTTGAGGACAGAGATCAGCTGTAGGAAATTGTGTAAAAAATGGTCATTTTTTGATTGCACGATCATCATTGATCATCAATTTTTGCACGATATGATCATCTGTTAATAGGTGATAGACGATGTAATGAAGTAACACTATAATGCATTATTAACTAAATTTCACGAAATATTTATATTAATAAAATAAAATTGTAGAAAATATTCCAGTAGATTAGGTGTGATGTATATATATTAAACCGGCAGTGGGTTTGTTGATTAATATTTCGATTTGATTTGATTGTTAACTTCTCGAAGGAGTTCATGTTTTCATCAAAAAATCCGACTCGCTAATTTTATGTTTTCTCGACGTTTCATGCTATTCTGAATCAAATGAGACCACATTTGGAAAAAGTATGTGTGTGTGTGTGTGTGTGAACAGATTTTTTGCCGTAAATCGACGTTTTCTCCAAAACGGATGGACCGATTTCAAAAATTTAAAAGCCGATCGATGTGTCCCGATGAGGACTAGCGTTTCTTAGTTTTGTGCGACGATCGGTCGGACCGTTTCTTTGTAAATTGCAGAAAAGTGAAAAGTTTTTCGTCCACATTTTATCCCGTAATTCTGAATCGATTTTGAAAATTCAAAAACTGTTCGAAAGGTATTGGTTGGGAATCGTGCTGATTAGTTTTTGGTAAAGATCGGCCGGACCGTTTTCTTGTAATAAAGTGTAAAAAAAAATTTCGACTATTTTTATGATTTTTTTTGACGGTAGATACCATAGTCTTCTAGATCATGCTAAAATATTACGGCGCTGCGACAAGCCGTTTAATTTTGAAAATTCTTCAAAGTTTGCAAAAATTACTATCGTTTTTTGGCATTTGTCAAAGTTAGACCTTTGATCGACGTTTTCTCAAAAACGCTTGAACCGATTTCAGGGGTTTAAAAGCCATTTGATGTATCTCAATGAGGACTATTGTTTGTCAGTTTTGTGAGACGATCTGCCGAGCCATTTCTTTGTAATTTGAAAAAATGTGTTAAACTTTTCGTCCACATTTAACCTCAAACTATCGAACCGATTTTAAAAAATCAAAAACTGTTCGAAGGATATTAGTTGGGAATGATACTAGTTTTAACTCTATTAACTGTTGAAAAAAAAAATTAAGCCGATTTTTATGGAACTTTTTTGGCGATATATGTCATAGTCTTATAGAACTTACTGAATTATTACGGCCTTATGACAAGTAGTTTAATTTTAAAAATTCATCAAACTTTGAGAAAATGAGTAGTTTTTTAAATTTGTTAAAATTAAAATTAGACAATTTACTTGGTATAACGATAGAGTACTCGGTCTTAATGAACATACCGAACCATTAAAGTCCTATGGAAACTGGTTCAATTATAAAAATTATTGATTTTTGAAAATTTGCTTTTAGAAAATACTCCGAGTTAACGTGATTGTTCGTTTTCAAATGTGTGTAATAATTCCACTCTGAATACTTTTAATGACTCTTAAATTAATTTATTTTTTATTGATAAAGTCGATTAATTACACATATCGGGAAGTTCATGTAACTTGCCTCAAGGCTAAATACCAAACCAACTAGTTTATTTATTATAATATATCACTGTATAGTATATTTTTGTTATTTATTGTGTTATTACAAAACATACGATTTTAATGCCAAATTTAATTACAAATACGCGATTATAAAATTCATTAATTTTCATTTCAAATTTGCGCCATTAATTTGAATGTCAAAAGCAGCGCCCTCATATCCATGGCCCACGTCTATTGTGTATTGCCCGCTGTCCATGTAATTGTACCATTGAACTCATCTTTATTTCTCCACTGGCAATACACGCGTCAAATTTATTCTGTTGGCAATACAAAATGCTTTCACAGACGCCATTGTTGACATATCTGGCTCGACTGGAAGGCTTTTACTAGAAGCGTTTCTTTATAGTGCCGCGTCAATAGACGGATTTTTGTTACATATTGTTTTAGCTGAAATCGAATTATCATAATTGTTTCTCTCGTACAATTCATAAGCTGATTCTTCTCCTGGCATCTGATTGTGAGATTTGTGACAATGACGGCTCAAGATCAGATGAGAGCCATGCTGGACGAATTAATGGGCACAGGCCGGAATGGTATGTAGTTCTTTTATCATTCTATAATGGTGTCCTATTTAATGACACTTTATTTTGAATATTAAATAAGTATAGAACCATATTGTTTTACAGTGAGTTTTAAATTACAGTTGTCAGAATGGTCAGAATAATTCATTAAAGGCAATCATGATGCTATTTAGTTTCTTCCAAAGCCTTCAAATGTTTACTCAAGATATGTCAATTTATTGTCATACCTAAAATTTAATTATTACTCTTTATTTCACAAATCTTTGTTTTTTTTTTACTTTATTTTTCTTATATATACAATATCATTTGATTTTATTGCTATTAACATACAAAAATAATAGGTTATAAATTTCTATCCAATGCAAAAGTAATTTTCTGTGAAAATATTTATTTTGAGTAAATAACTATAGATGAAAATGGAAGTTTGTCCATTTTATTTTCAATCAACCAGTTGCAGTGCATTCAACCTTTATTTTGGTTTTTATACCTTTTTAACAAATATTTGCATATTTTAGGTGAGAACAGTAAATACCAAGTAAAATTTACGGATCCAAAAGTTTGCAAGAGTTTTCTACTTGCTTGCTGTCCTCATGAAATTCTATCATCTACGGTAAGATATATCTTCAATCCTTACTTCATAATCGCATTATCATAAAGCATAAAAAAGAAAAATTACAATATTCCAGTTGACACATTAGAGAATAATAATGAAATTAACTTTTTGTTTTGAAAACGATGTGCCTCCACAACTAATTCTAGACAATGTGTTTTCAGAGACTACAAATATTCTTGTACATTAAACGGGCTTTTCCTAAATCTACATGACTAATAAAATCAAAGATTAAAATGTGTTTATCTCTATCGTGTCATTCATAAATCTGTAAGTAGAGAATAGAAATCCGTACGTATTAACATAATAGAATATCTTTTAATGCTCTAGTATATTTACAATGGATATTAATTGTTGTGTATCAGCGTTGGCAGATTTCTTTTTCATGAAAGTTTAACATTAAGCATTCTTACTGTTACTGCCAATGCTGCATCACTAGTCATATCTCATTAGGTTGAAATAATTGAAGCTTCACGATTAACAAAGATTTTGTAATATGAAGCATGAATATATGAAATAGTATATTTCCAATCTTTGCCCTTTAATGACATATTATGCAACAATTTTTAATACTTAATATATACACATGTTGAACATCTGCATACTAAGATATTTTAGTATTTACAGTTTATTATAAACTGCGAAAGTTATTTAAATTTAATGAATTTTTATAATTCTGTTGTTTTGTGGTAAAATCTGTCTGCAAGTTAAATTGAGTAAATTGTATAAATATTTCAACTATCTAAGCATCAATTGAGTACATTCAATCTTGATTATTTTTTTAAATTTTGTAATATTTTATGATTTTTAAAATATTCATAAATTTCTAGTAATAGTAAAACTCTTACATCTTATGAATAATTATCTGTTGTAATATCACACCAAATTTAATTAGCATTGAAATGAACCACCTTTTTATTATAAATCATTTACATAATCAATCCAACGATCAATTTAAAAACATTTTATGGTTAATTGATTTGCAGATCAATAATTATGTTTTATGCCATGTAAAAACTAAAATATAATGGTGTATTCATGTAGTATGTTATTTACATATTTTTATACATGTGCATATTTTTTATATCAAAACCTTTTAGTAAGAAGCAATTTTTTATACTTATGTTCCTTTTACATTTAATTTATATTAAGACTCTTACCTATTTATATATTTGAGTATGTGTGGTTGTTTTTAATTCTTTGTGTTGTAAACTAAGTTAACATACTTAAATATTTATATTTATGTACTTGGAGGAGTAAATGTAATATGTTCATCAAAGTGCATTTATCTTAATGCATTGATTTAAGGCAAATGTGAGATTATGGAAGATAATTTTGTATATTAACATTGTAAGCTTCCCTTAGATGTAGCCTGCAAAATTGGTGATCAACGAAGTGTGATGTCTGCTCACTCAGGGTGTTGTAGGGTGCAGTGCTCGTAAGTGACTTGACATGAAAAATTAATCAACGGAAAACTGATCAGATTTTTTGTCTGCAATATCAATTGTTAATATTGTATTATACAACCCCATTATATTTATATTTGACAACTATTGGTTGAATTAGTTAATGAAAATTAAGATCAACTGCATCATGCACTTCTGGTTTAGAAGACTTAGTATTTATTTTTATTTTATTTATGAAAATTCAACTCACTTATGTAAAATTTGTTGTATATTAAGAATTGTAATTTTCAATTTGCTGTAAATTTTCATGTGATTTCACTCTATTATTTAAAATCTTTTGATGATTGCTTTAGGTAATTAGTTAAAATAATAATAAAATTTGTTCTTTTCAGTTTTAAAATTTATAATTCGATAAAAATGATTCATTACAACCTATTTTTACATGGCCATTCTGCATTATTCAAATAAGAATGCATTTGATGACTCTTTAATATAATAATTAGTATGTTTTTTTATTTTGATCATCTTGATTCTACATTAATCTGTATTTGGCTCATAGTTGTCAATATCATAATTTTTTTTTTATTTATTATTAATCGAAATCTGTATGTTATGAATTACACTTGCAATTTTTATGATTTTATATATATGAAAGAAAAGGTTATTTTGAAAGGTACTCTGCGTTGTGGTTTCTAAATTTTTTTTTTTAATTCATCTATGGTCAGGAATGAGTTGAAATTGTGATGCTCTTCTCATATTCTATGTCTTTACAGAGGATGGATCTTGGTGAGTGCCCAAAAATTCATGATCTTGCATTAAGAGCTGATTATGAAAAAGCTGCAAAAGATCGTGATTATGCATATGATATCGATGTAAGTAGTGTTTTAACAATAATTATTTTATAAATACATTCACAATATGTATCTATTTCTAAAAAGATTCTTAAAAGTTAGTTATGAATACAAGATGCAAGTTCAAATAATATTTACAGAAATATTTAGTCATTTCAATTTCTATTACTTGTCATTGGACAAGTATTTATTATTACCTTTAATTATCTCGCAATATAAAATTCAAGGCTATGGAACATTTGGCTTCATTCATTGGAGACTGTGATAGGCGTACAGAAGGGGCCAAACTTCGATTGGCAGAAACTCAAGAGGAATTGACGGCGGAGGTGGCCATTATAGCAAACTCTGTACATGAAGTTGCAGAAGAAATAGGAAAGAAGCTGGCTAAGGCAGAAGCTCTTGGGGAAGAAGGATTTGTTGAAGAAAGTATGAAACTCATGGAAGAAGTAAGTTGTAATAATTGTCAAAGGCTCCAAGGTACTATTAAATTTAACCACTTAATTATTTTTGATCAATATATTGAGGTGCACTTTATAATTTTAATACTGTTAAGTGTTAATCCATTAGTCAATTTACTTTTACTGGTTTTCAAAAAAGTGAAGTTATTAAATTTTTTTAACATTACAGATTAAATAGCTCGGATTTTCGGATTGACTTTTCCATATATATATTTAGATTTTAAGGACCACCCTAATTTATATATAAATATATATATATATATATATATATATATAATATATATAATATTATTTATTAAATTATTAATTTTGAAAATACTATTTGTAAGCTTTGTTTTACTTCTTGGGTATTAAACCGCTCCGCGGCACGCAAAGTAACTACAATTTTAATTTTTTTATTTGAATTTTCAATATTATATTTGAAATAACATTTCAAAGTGCCCATCATAACGGATTTAAAAAATATAGATTTTTGTTTGTTTGGCGAGCACTTTAAACAAAATCGTTGAATTTCAACGAAAACAAAAACGGATAGCAATTTGTTAATAATTGATGAACAAATTAACATATAGAAGGTCCGCTATGATAGGCACTTAAAATGTAATTTTAAATATACTGTAAAAAAAAAAATTCGAATGAAAACGTCGCTTTGTAAAATCTTGTTTCGAAAAAAACGAGTTATAGATAAGAAAAAATTTAAAAAATGACATTTATAATTACAAAAATTGCGGTGCCAATATTAATCACCAATACTATTATCATTTATAAAATATTGCTTAGACCATAGTTGAAATTATCACCAGCAATATCAGCGGAAATATAGTCAACCCTTATGTGTTGAATCTGCACTGATCATATATTTGTTAAAAATTATTTTACAGTTTATTTATACAATATGAAAAGATGATACATGTTGTAATTTTGCTTTATGTTTTTTGCTAATGTATTTGGTCGATATCGGTTCGAAGCGGCTGGACGCGCGTGGGAAAAAGCTCACAATTACAAGTAACAAAAGCAAGTTTTAGATGTGAAATATTTTTCCTCATGTTCTAAAAGGTTCAAAGTATATTTCAAGTCTAAAAACTTTTTTTTGGTTTCTCGAAAAATCTACAGTGGTGTAACCAGTTATTTATATTATATGTATTTTATGCTAACAAATTTTTGTTAAGTGTTTGTTTTTTTTTTATAGTTCTTTATAAATCTGAAGAACATTCTATGTAATGTCAAGCTAATATGTCATTTTAACGCTGCCAGTACTTTTGATGCTAATAAGTATATTTTGATATTACATTGTTTTGAGATAACACTTCAATAAATTACGATATATTTAAACGGTTTAAAATATCATAATAAATTACATAATTCTGTTATTGCAATTATTTTTAATTTTTCTTAATTTCAACTTTTGTACATAAAATAATTCCAATGCAAATGTACTTACAAGAAAAATTTTATTGTTTAATCACTAGTTTTAAAAAACATATTTCTTTATCATTTAGGTTGAAGAATTGCGTAAAAAGAAAATGGAAGCTGAACAGGAATATAGAAATTCAATGCCAGCAAGTAGTTACCAACAGCAAAAGTTACGGGTTTGTGAAGTTTGTTCTGCATATTTAGGCATCCATGATAATGATAGGCGTTTGGCAGACCATTTTGGTGGAAAATTACATTTAGGTTTTATAAAAATTAGAGAAAAACTTGCAGAATTGAAAGTAAGTTACTTATTCCTAATATTCTTTACATTCGCATAATTTATCAATTCTTTCTTCGTTTTTTTAGAAACTTGTTGAAAGCAAGAAAGACGAAAGAGCTGGTAGAAGCCGAGATAGAGATCGTGAAGATAGGTACTTTAAACAAATTCATATTCTATTTTTTTACTTTGTTCATTTATAGCTTACAATAATGGTTTTGTACATTATTTAAGCTGGTGACAAATGTTGAATTTTCTCATTTTTTAAATGTTATGCTTACAAGGTACAGGGATCAAAGAAGTCGCAATCTATATGTCGGCGGAAGGGAACTAGACCGACGTTCAAGGAGACATAGATCTCGTAGCCGAGACAGAAGACGCCTATCGCCTTCAAGGTAAATTTTGAGTTATTGGAAGCAACAGTAAATTATGTATACTTATCACAGTTAACAATTGCTGTTTGTTAACACTAGATATACCACGCCAGTCAAAATGTCTCGTTGGGCACTTTCAATTCAAAATTTCCATTATATGTAAAATTTGTTTTGTGAAATGAAGTTATGACTTTTTAAGTTATAGCTATAGAAATCATTTTGTGCATTCAAAGTTACTTTATATATATTAGTAACAAAAATAAATTGTGTTACTACTACTTGTAACAGCACCAGTCAAAATGACTGGTGCAAGTTTCTATAGAAAATGTTTGATAAAAGAACCGAAATAACAATAACCATAGATCGTATGCGTTTATCGCCTACTCTCTTATCGACGACAATATTTATTATTTATTCTTTATTCTTTTTTACATTGTAAAAGTGCAGATTGCTGAAGTATTACTATATTTTTACCAACAAAACAATTGTTTCGAGCTCCGTTCAACAAACTAAATAAAATTTTATTCAAAGTGATTTTCAATTATAATTATTTATTCTTTTTGTACACTGATACAAGTAAGTAACATTCGCGTGGACACAGATATTTTCAAAAATATATTCTTGAGTAAAAAAAAACTATAAACGAGAAAACTGCCATGGTTTCGACTTATTTTTATAGCGGCTGTCAGTCTTCGAAAGAAAAATGGAAACAATGTTTTTTTAGCTTGTTTGGAAAATACAATTAGCGAATCTCTGAAATGTTTGGACCTAGGAGTTGAAATATATGATAGTAACGGTGAATTTTTAGATAAACAAATCAATCCACAAGGTAGTGCTATTATCGACTGTAGAAATGGGAAAATTTCGTGGTAAAGACAATACAGATGGATCAAGTACGTTAGTAAATGGATAGATATCATAAACAAACGTATGAGACGATGCGAGCCACTTTCTTCCAATTCTGAAGACGAATTTGGAAGTAATGCACCAAATCAGGAAACTTTGGGCAAGAGTTTGGACGAAACTATTTAGACAAGAGTTGTAGTAAAGTGAAATATGTTTTGCAGGTAGATAAGAAGTTCAAAGAGCTTTCAGACACATACTCAGGCCAAATAGAAAAAATGCCTGGGTTTGGAACAAATTATAGAAAATAGCAAAAATTGCTTCAAACCGGGAGCTCATATCACTTTGGTTGAATAACATTTTCCAACAAAGACCAGAAGCGTATTTAGCCAGTAAATGCCAAAGAAACTATAAATTTACATAAAATTCTGTCTGACATCTGATGTAGAAACAAAATATATGGTAAATGGTTGCCCGTATTTAGCGAAAGACGAAGTATCAACCCCTCTAAGCGAATTTGTAGTAATGAAAATTCTTGAAATATATACTGAAGCGGTTTTAATGATTACCTATGTTTGTGTTATCATAAAGTAAATTTAAGTTAATGTCTTGAGTCACATTTCATATTTCTCAAAAATACTCGAATTTTGTAATATTGTCAATTCATCAACTAAATAGATACCTCTTGGTAAAAAGAACACAAAAGATGCTTCAAATTATACTTTTTTTTTTTATTATTGTAGATCTCATCGAAGATCTCGAAGCCGCAGTCGGCGTTCGTCATCCAGAAGATCTTCTTCTCGAGATAGAAGATAGAAGAGGTATCACACAGTCTAATGTGAATATTTTAAGATAAAAAGCGTTTGTAAAAAGTTAAGCATCGTAGCTTTATTAATTATAAAATTTAATTGTCATTTATTATATTCAATAATAATTTCAATATTAAGTAGCATATGAAAACCTTCTTTCAGGGTATTTCTAAAACTTCTGTTGGTGTAAGAATGTGAAAATTGATAAATATTTTATTTTACACTATTTTATTCAAATTGAATACATGGATTATATCATGTGAAATGCTTTTTTTTCTTTTTTTTTTGATACAAAACTGACTAACGTTTTGACCACCGACTGTTACATGATAAGCCTTTCTTTTTACATTTTATATATTATTGCTCATATTTTACTATACACTTAGGTCTTTTAATTTTATATTTTTAAAATTAGAAATTTGTTATAATGTATTTTTTGTATATCTTTTTTCTTTAACCAATATACTTTTAATGCTGTAAACAGACTATGAGGTGTAAAACTATTTACTATTAACGTTTTATAGGAAATTAAATTTCTATACTTTAATATATATTAATATTTTGATATATTTATGAAATATAACATCACTTGCGAAACAATGTTGTTTTTATTATTATATATTATAAAAATATACAACATATATAACACAATATTGTAATTTCAACCTATTTAATAAAAAAAAATTAAAGTACCAGTTTCCTACATTCGTCTCTTACATATCGCAAACTATCCTCCCCTCAGGAGAGCAGAAAATCGATTTTTTTTTTTGTACTTTTAACATTTTTTCTGTCAGTTTTTTTTTTTTTTATCAGTGCTCGCTCATAGGTAAGTGGCTAGAACGACTGGACCTGGATCAGCCTGATACCCACTTCGGGCAGCCGGGTCCAGAGTCTCTACTAGCGATCGCAGCGTGAATTTGGGCGATCGTGGCATATGCCGGACTTTGGAAAACCGGATTCCAAAGTCTTTGTCGATCTCATAGTGAATCTTCCCCTCGTGGCTGACCATAATTCATACATATGCATTTTTCAATAGCACATTCTCTTCAATATAAAGAATGCATGTGCCTTTGCGGGTATTAAAACTTCAGTCACCAAATTTTTTTCCAAAAAACTTTTACCCAAAAATTTTTTTTGGGGAAATTATTTTGGGGATATTTTTCGGGGAAATTTTTTGGGGATATTTTTTGGGGAAATTATTTTGGGGATATTTTTCGGGGAAATTTTTTTGGGGATATTTTCGGGGAAATTTTTTGGGGATATTTTTCCGGGGAAATTTTTTGGGGATATTTTCGGGGGGATATTTTTTGGGGAAATTTTTTTGGGGATATTTTTCGGGGAAATTTTTTTGGGGATATTTTCCGGGAAATTTTTTTGGGATATTTTCGAGGAAATTTTTTGGGGGATATTTTTCGGGGATATTTTTTGGGGAATTTTTCCGGGAAATTTTTGGGGATATTTTCGGGGAATTTTTTGGGGATATTTTCAGGGGAAATTTTCCGGGGAAATTTTTTTGGGGATATTTTCGGGGAAATTTTTTGGGGATATTTTTCGTGGAAATTTTTTTGGGGATATTTTCCGTGGAAATTTTTTGGGGATATTTTCGGGGAAATTTTTTGGGGATATTTTCAGGGGATAATTTTGGGGATATTTTTGGGAAATTTTTTTGGGGATATTTTTCGGGGAAATTTTTTTGGGGATATTTTCCGGGGATATTTTTTTGAGAAATTTTGTGGGGATATTTTTCGGGGAATTTTTTTTGGAATCGGAGAAATTTTTCGGGAATATTTTTTGGGGATATTTTTCCCAAAAAATTTCCCCGGAAAATATCCCTAAAAAATTTCCCCAAAAAATTTCCCCGGAAAATTTCCCCTGAAAATATCCCCAAAAAATATCCCCGAAAAATATCCCCAAAAAAATTTCCCCGAAAAATATCCCCAAAAAAATTTCCCCAAAAAATATCCCCAAAATTATCCCCTGAAAATATCCCCAAAAAATTTCCCCGGAAAATATCCCCAAAAAAATTTCCACGGAAAATATCCCCAAAAAATATCCTCAAAAAATTTATGGGATATTTTATGGGGATATTTTT